GGATGGTCGTGGTTGAGGTCCGGCAGGGAACACTGGGCGTGGATGGTTGTGGTTGAGGTCCGGCAGAGGAGGACGAGGAGGAGAAGAAGGAGGCGGAGGAGGAGGAGATGGGGCTGACATAAAATCTAACAACCCTCACCTGACAGGTGGGGAATTTCATGGGAGAAAGTCTTGCACAAGGTCATGGGTCATGGACCCCATGGTTCGTCCGCCAATTGGTTTTCCATCTTCGCCCGGTGGCGCGAAACGGTTTCTTCGATCCTCAGCTGTCGACCCGCGAGGGAAAGAAACGGAAGGTCGACCCGGCGAGGTCGTGGTTCTTGAAGAACATGGAAGTAGCGAGGGGCTGAACGTTCCAGTCTTTTTAAACAAACAATGTCCAAAGCTTCGATGTTGTGTTCTTAGATCCTGCAGCACGTTCCAGCGATGTTTCTAGATTTGCCCAAATGTTCCCCACAACCCTGGTTGACCCCAATTCAACTGAAGAGATTCCTGAACAAGTTTGGGCGTCAACCCAAATGCACGGTTTGGTGGGAGACGGTTTTGACACACACAGCCACATCAGAAACCCGAACGCTCTCCAACTACCTCTCCAACCACCTTCCCTGTCTGTTCGTCATGCTTTACGGGGATGGCATGGACGGCATGAACCTGAAGGGAATCTGAAGACCAAACATGGCTTTCCACTTATGAACCTGTCAAACAAAAGGGCCCGAACAAGAAGCTCCAATAGCAACCCCAAAAGCTCTCCACAATAGGCTTGGTTCTCCTTCAAAAAAATGATCAGTGGTAGCTCCATGATTACCAGGAGTGTGCCCGCCCATCTTCGGCGGGACTGCGACTACCTAGGACCTTCGGAGGGTCGACGTAAACCTGGTGAGGACCTTCGGAGGTCTTTGGAGCTGTAGGTAAGGAATGCATCCGTCCAAAAAACCTTTTGTGAAAGACCAAACCAACTCGCGATCGATCCACGTTCGCACCTCAAGGTCCTTTCACATGGGTGGGGTACCCGAGGTCTGCTATGTAGAGAAACCCACTAAATAAGAAAACGTGCCAACCACGACGAGGTCAATCGGTTTAAGACACGGTTAGAAACTCAGGTGAAGTATGAATTGCCAAATGCGTTCAACGGTTCAAGACAAAAGTGAGATGGAATCAAAAGGTTTCTTCAAGTGAAGGAATTCTTTTAACTTTCTGGTAGAGATTCTGGCGAACTTGGAACATGAAAGGGAAGAGTAAGGTGCTTCGCACACCGTGACTTGACACTAGTGGCATTTCAAGGCGACCATTGAGCGGATACGGTTGATTAGCCAAAGATGAGTATAGATGAGTAGTGTGATAGTAGTGCACGATATTTTCCATAAGTACCTTAGCATCAGGCAAAAAGGGTCTGGCCGATATGCCTCCAATCAGCCGAGAGTTATAGCCTAGCCGAACTAACGAAGAGGCCCCGGTCTTCTTATACCAAGGAAACATCTGGCATTTGAGGGTATTTTCAAGATAACGTACAACTGCGCAAAGGTTATTGGCTTGGTGCCAAATACTTTTTGCATCTGGTTTTTGGATCGGAGCTTCTTCAGAGTCAAATGCCACAGGACGAGCATGCTTGTTTTCCCCATTGTAGATCCAGATTGGCAGAAACAATCCAAAATGAATTGCATAATACATAGCAAGTTCACACCAGGAAATACCAAAATCGTCGGGTCTTCTGGAAAGCGAAGGATCTCGCCACTTGAAGGGACGAAATAAGTGCCATACTTTAAAAGCGATATGAGCCCCCGATGGGCACACCTGCGTTACTATTTCTGGCAATTCCTGGTCAAAGCACCAAATAGAATCATCCACATCAATCCACATCCCCAGTACTAAGAGTTGTTTGAAAGTTGGCATAAGCATCCACAGAATGATGGGAGTTTTGGGCTGTATTGGGATGCTCTTTTTGCAATTTGAGCTGCGAGTGTAACGAATTTAGTTCTGCCAAGTATAAATACATGCACACCAATGAATCAATCTGCCTCTTGGAGTGTGTCGAGATGGCTTCAGTGGCGTCCAAAAGGGCTGGCAAATCCTGTTTATTATGGCTTTTGCTGTATCATCGGCCAAATCATTGCCCAAAATCGTATACAAATCATCAATTCCACAATTCCACGAGCCTCTCTTTTCTCGCGGTGAGATTTGACCTTGATAATTCGGTGATACAAGGGATTCCAAGACGTAGATAAGGTGTGTACTAAATCTGCATGAGCCAGATGGTGAACTTTAGGGTGCCAACGCCCATTTGCGATGGCATCAACAATCTTCACGACAAAATTCGACGAAGTCTTTGTGGACGTAACTTAACTTTATTGAATGCCGTTGCTTCGATTGGCACGATTTTGAATGACCAATCCAATATGGATCTGCCCTAGGGCTCCAACTAGCTGCTTAGCTCCTCGGAAAGTCTTCAAACATATTTGAAACCCTCTCCAAACACCGGGTGCAGCACTTGTTCTACAAGCTATGTCGGAGGCCCAAGGGTTAATACAGTAGAAGTAATTAGTGCCCAACTTGATTTCTGATTGGGGACTGCTAGATTGTAGCTGATGATGGGTCACGGCCTTGTGCCAGGCATCTGTCTCTGCAAGTGGCCGACGCTGTCTTTGAGCTTTTGCGTTGCTTTACCTGAGATGTCGGGCTTGCTTACTTGCTATGCTGAATGCATTCAGAACATAGTTCATCCCATGTGCCCTCATGACTAAGAATGCAGTAGAGACTGACAAAATAAACACAGAATAATCTGTTTCATGAATGAAGTGTTCTGGGCGGTTTGCTCCTTGTGGTGCTTCATGCGGGGTACCCAGCGCCTGGGGTTCAGCCGCGATGGAGCCAAGCCGCTGATTTTTTCCGGAAGTGGTGCATCTTGCGCCATCTTCAAATTCTCTTCGAGGATTTCAACCAGCGCATCAATGCTCTGGGACACTCCACCTGTGGCAGTTTCTGCGGTTTCTCTGCATCATATATAAATCTCGGATCACCTTGCATTCTCAGCCTGAAAGAAGTCGTGAACGACCTGGGGCTCTCCAAACAACGTTCACTTGCTGAAAAGGCCCAAAAAAGGCCCATCCTGCAACCAAACAGCCTGGTGGCCACCCTGCGATCCATCAGAAAAGAACCTTCCTGAGATTGATTGATTCGCCTTCGAAACCAAGGCATCTCGGAGGGTTTTGAAAATGCATATTGCATTGCTCCATCTACCAATTCGAGAATCCTGCTGTCCTATGATCCTATTAGTTATATATATACACTATCAATCTGACATACAGTATAAAGTCATGTTCCAGTCTTGGGGAATCAGCGCTCCTTTATCAGCCCGCCGCTTTGGGCGAAGATGCTGAAGCAAGGGTGCAAACGTGGGCGAAGTCCTAAGTCTCACCTGTAGTTCTCAGCGTTACAAAAACCGCAGTGCAGTGAAGGAAGTGTCATTGACGCTTCTCCCATGCTTCTTCCCATGGGTATGGAGAACCCTTGCACTAATACTTCAATTCAAAAGCGACATTGTCTTCTCTTCACATCGGCACCGTTCGGACACAGAACCATCGCGCCAAACCCATCGACGAACCAACCGGTGCCCATGACGAACCAACGGTGCAAACCAACCGTTCCTTCACAGAACACTGCCCCCAACCGGCCCAGAACGGCCCAGAAAGGCCGCCTACAAAGGCCAGGACCGGAGTCCGTTTCGCCTTCGGCCTGGAGACCGGCGCGGCGTTGGGCTGACTCCAGGAGTCATGTGCCATGGGGTGGTTGGGATGGGCTCCCAGTGAGTGGAGAATGTGGATCCTTCCTCATCCTCGTAGTGTCGAGGAGTCCCAAAAGAGGAACTGGACTCTTCCTACGTCATAGGTGTTCCTCGTACAGGTTGCTGAAGCAGATCGAGACGTATCGAGCTGCGCTTTGATTTTGAGCGAACTTGGGCCGGTCTTTGGCGATGCCCCAAGGACACACGAACCAGCACCTGACGTAGGGAACGAGACGCGCGAGGCGTGTAGGGATGATGCGCGGATCTTGTTGAGTTTGTTATAGATTTGTGTAAACAAGCCTGTTCAAAAAACAAGTCTATAACAACAACCCTATAACAAACTCAACAAGCTCTATGATGAGCGTGGAATGTTCCAAGCCTGTTCATTCTTCCTTTGACACAAGCAAATGGTAGATTGTGAATCTGATCTGATTTTGCCATGCATGCACCTCCTGGAGATGAGATTTTCCAGAGGTCTGTGACTTTGGCCCCCCCCAACTGTTCCCTTTTGAAGCTTCGCTCCAGGTCCAACGCCCACAGTCCACACCTCACAGTCCCAACACCTCCCCCGTCACTCCCGTCACGACCACCGTCCGAAGGTGGCCTCTCCGCCATGCGGCCGAAACCGACCGTTTCGATGGTCGCACTTGAGCCAATCTACGACTGCCCGTCGGCAAAAGGGGATGCACCCGGATGAGGAATCCCTGCAAGAGAGAGAGAGAGCTCCCATTGCGAAAGTGGCCTAGCAGGAATGTGCCGTTCCAAAACACCGGTGCCGTTCCAACCCGTTCATGCCCGCGCCTCACCCACCAACTACGTACGCCAGGAAGAGACCGGCAACCATCACATTCCCCCCAACAGGGTGGGGAACACACCCTTCCAAAATGGTAGGCTTTTCCTGGGCCAAAACCGAAGGTTGCAGGGCCACACGTTCCCTGCGTGGCATGTAGATTACTATATTAATAGGCCACATGCATTCATGCATCTTCATCGACAAACACATCTTTTTCTCAATTGAGGACATCAATACAATTCAATACATCAGTGATGAGTAGATTCCAAAACTGAGGAATTGGGTGAGATTTGGTGAGACCAACTTGAGGCCCGGGTTGGATGACGAAAGCTAAAACTCCAGTCACGGCCGTTCTGGAGAACGGGTAAAGCGAAAGCGTGGCATGATGTGAATCATCATGGTCCCGGTCCCAAAACGGATGCTATCAGAACTATGATGCTCTCAACTGTGATGCGTCCAAGAGGGGAGTTGAACCCGCGGAGCTGGGGTCTGTGGATAATTCAATGGGTAGCCGATTCCATCCCCCAGCCAATACCTTGCTAATATAAAAAGAAAGAGCAACTCCAGCTAGCTGAAGCTAGCTTTCGTGAGCATTGTGCCCGTCCACGAGCCGTAATTACATGAACAACACAATACTGTTACTTGATTTTGCTTGTTGTGTCCCCCTCCCCTCCTTCCATAATGCTTTCCCTGCCCAGCTGTACATCTCTCCTGGAGCTTGTTGGAAGGGCACGGTCCTCAGGCAATGCTGGAGTTTGAAGGACAAGGACTTCCAACGTTTCCCATGGTCGCCCCATGGGATTTTGAGGGTTTAGAGCCATCAGAAACTGGTCCATTCACTCGGTCGATCTGGAGCACACCATCCGCGGAGATCCGGGTGGATGGGGGCCATCTGCTTGGAGCGAACCCCGGCCCGACTCGGGAGGTGCCTCGGGGTGCGGTGGCGACCATTCGCAGACCAAAAAGCCCATCGAAACGCTACCCAAGCGCGACCATCCAAGTGGTGTCTGGGCTGGAGATCCCTTCATAATAAGTAGCATAACTGGAGGTAAGTTATCTTGGTACAAATCCCTGGGCCATCCTGGGCCATACTTCACCCTCCACAGCTCTGCCGCCATGGCACTGCCCAAGCGAAGAAGTCACACTGCTCTTCACGCACCCTGGGGCACACGAAGAAGTGGCGGCCTTTGTTGGGGCCTGGCCGAGGGCAGTGCAGTGATCCGGGGCTTTAAGCCATACTTGCCGCACACCGGTTCTTGTCGTACCCTCCCCCTCTTCGTGGGGGCTGTCTTCGCTTGGGCGAATCTTAGGCGTGTTGGCCATTCACCACCAATGCTGTTTATGAATTGGGGCGAGGTGTAGAACAAGGGGAGTCCATGGTTCGGGCACCCGTGTGGCAAAAATACTCCTGCCTTCCTTCTTCACTTCAACTTCTCGGCAAAGCTCTTGGTGTTTGCAAAGAGGCCTGAGTCGAGTCACCAATGCTGAAATCTGTCAGCAAGAACCCATCTGAACCGAGGGCTTAGTGGATGTGCGACCGCCTGGTTGCACACGACCGTGGGGCATCCAACAGTACGACAGTAGAGGCCGGACAGGCCGTCGATCTGGCCGTCGATCTGAACGGAAAGCGACCGCCTGGTCACCAACCAGTCGCCACCGCACCGTCGGACCTGCGTTTTCTCACGTCTTCGTCGGGAATGATCGAAGGTCAAAGATCCATCTACTTGGACCATTGGTGTGGAAGGGGCTTAGTTTGGGCTCGCAACCATCAACTATCCATACACTTTACACCCAGCACCCAGGGGAAGAAGGTTGAAGGCAAACACAGTATGAAGAAAGGAATCAAGGACGAGAAAGGGACAAGCGAGGAAAGCAATTGTCCAGCATTGGCACACTCCCACTGGAACTGGAACTGGAAAACCACCAGGTGGATACATAGTTTTTCAGGGGGCCATGAGCCATGAGACTGTAAACCAAATACTGTGGAGATCTGTGGACACACACAGCCCCGCGAATCGCTCGAGGCACATTGGTGAACACAAAAACCATCTGTCCATGAGGGTTTGCGCTGCCGAAGCAGTGGACAGAAACAAGAAAGAATTAACAATACAATATGTTTTTAATCTGTGTGTGGTTCTTGTTTGTTTGGGCCCTTCTCTTTCTTTCTCGCCTTTGCGTCTCTCCCTCTCACTCGCTCACTCACTCATTCACTCATTCACTCACACACTCTCTCTCTCTCTCTCCCTCCCTAGGTCTCCACAAACTGAACCGCAGCCTGAACCTGCCTGGTTTCAAATTCCTATTGTTTGATATTTGTCATGCAGCCAGCCAGTTGAGCTGTGCTTCCCGACAGGCTGGAGGGGCGCTCAGGCTCAGGCGGTTCAGGCGGCACGAAGCCTGAGGAGATGGATATGTGAGGTGAGTGGTTGGGAAAACAATGTTCTGTCCACTGAGTGACTGATCTTGGGATGATTGATGAGAGGCCTAGGACCAACAGTTTGTTCAAGATTGCTCCAAAAAGCCTCTTTGCCGGCATCCGCTTTTGCTAACAAAGAATCAACTACGTCATATCATCACCCACACATTGATGGTGTAGATCATGAAGTCTGAAATCGCTCCCTCCCCGGTGGTGCCTGCCACACCTGCGGAGGGCACTCCCCCCGACGCGGAGGGACCTCTCCCCGCAGGACTTGGTGGTCCGAGGTCGTCGTCGGAGCTGACGGAGAGAGTCGGCTGATCGTCGCCGCCTGTGCCCGTGTCTTGGGTTTGCGCAAGAATGAAGCCGGCGAAGCCTTGGAGGCCCTTGAAGGACCCGAAACGCGACGCGTGACATGGTACCCGCCCTAGTCTTGAAGATCATCTGAGTGGCTCTGTCATTTCGGGATGAATGGCCCGCCCAGAGTTCTGTTTCGTGGATGCTCGTGACATCTCATGACGTTCCAAAGAAAGTTCTCATCCATTCGATGAAAAATATCTTCACGGCATCAACGGAGATACTGCTGCCATCCACTCACAACCTCCCTCAAAGACTTAGCCATGTCCCTGACCCAGACCCTCCATGTGTGGTATATTTGCAAGCCCAATGACCCCTGAAACCACCCAATGTATGTACATATGCCATACATGGAGCGTTTGGGTGATGATGCCCGTGAAAAACCGCTTGCAGACCCGCCTTCGCACTTCACGGTACTGCTTGCAGCCTGGCAGCGTGCTTGGAAGCCTTCCGGGTTTGGGTGGGGTTCTCCGGAAGCTTTGGTGACTCTGAAGAAGGCTGGTCTTTTTCATCTTTAAGCCTCAGCTGTCCAGATGCTGGGAGATGATTCTTTCGCCTCCTGCAGCTCCACGTGCAGTCTGCAGTCACGAAAGCCACCAATGACGCAGGCGCGTCACGTCATGTCGGGCCTCCACCTCCATGTCCGCCTCTTCACTACCAGAGGCGATGTCGAAGACCAAGGTCTCAGGACGTTGAAATGATCCAACTTTGTTCGCGGGGGGAAGATGTTCAAGACTGGGGCGCCCCAGATTGGCCCTCGCATTGATCTTTGATCCATTTCTTGTGGTGGTACTTCCAGTGTCAATTCTCAGATGGTGAATCCAAGGTGGATTCTGTGGCCACCTCCTTCCTCCAAGTCTAATCTTGGCACTTTGCCATCTGCTTGCATCAAGGAGTCGCGTGTGGTCGTGTGACCGCTTCTGGTGCAAGAATTGGACACGTCAATAGGAGTTCAACCCACTCTTGAGAAATTCCCGTTTCTGCAGCTTTCACACCCTGCACCGTTCACCTGAGACACATAAGTTCCAAGATCGAAATGTTGGTGCATGTTTAGATTGCCAATGTTCAAACCTGCAGTGTGATTCTTGTCAACTGAAAGATCTGGGATCCACTCAAAAAATCAAAAATCAACAATCTACAATCTCTACACCAGTCAGTCCCTGCCAAGGTAACTTGCTGCTTATTATTCCAGCAGTTGGTTAGACAGGGAGAAGACCTCACTAAACTGCGATCTCCTGGCGGTCCATAATGACTATGGTGCTTAGTTGAATTGAAGCATGGCTCTAAAAATAGAAAGTTACCCTCCCAAAAGATACATGCTCCGCAAACCCCCAAATTTTAGAAGCAAAAAAGCTACAGTAACTTCCATCAAACTTCCCAACAGCCTCTGGCAGTTTCCATGTTGTTTTCACACGTCCGGGTGCACAAGTTCCCCGACATCTTGGTGCTTCCAGTCGTCGGCACCAGTCGCCTCCTGACCACATCGGCACTGGGTAGCCTTCCGAACCAACGATGCGGAGACCAGGTTGGCGTATGTCTTGCGTATGCCGCGGTTGCCCCCTTTGCACTGTATGCCTTATGCGGGCAGGACAACCGTGGGAGCAACGAATCATTCATGTTGCTCCGGCAACATCTGCATCATCATCTCTCTCTCTCTCTCTCTCTCCAGAACTCTGGACTTAATTCATTGACATGCTCTCAAATCAGATGCACCCTTTCAGGAGACCCTTCCTATGAACGAGTCCGGACCTCAGAACGCCATACTGTATCCTGGATCAGTCCGGCTCCTCCGGTGGCTCGAGCTCCCTGATCAAGGTCTGGAGCCGCTGGAGTTCCGTCTCCGCCTCGGCTCGGCCTCGGCCGAGCGGCGCACAGAGCCAACGCAAATCGAGGCTACTGTTGAACGGCTGCGCAGAGACCAGCCACCCAAGTAACTTATGGCGATATATATATATATATGAGTCAATAGTAATTGCATATTAACAGATACTAGTAGACAGGTAGATACAGGTAGACTATTCAGACTCTTCATGACGTTTCTCCGTTCATCTCCCAATTCTTTCGGTCCCTGTCCAGACCGAAGACGAACATCGGTCCAGTTCGGCCTCCCGGCGCGTGCGCACAGGACAGAACTCGGCGGCACGACAGGAGCGCCAAAGGGGACCGGCGCAGTCTGCCTCGGAGGACGGTCGACCTGGTTGCACGGGTGTGAGCCACCCGTTTTGAAGGTGCTCGAGGGGGGTTAGGAATGTTCGCCTGTTCGCGTGGAGTCACCATAACATGGTGAAAGATGAGTGGGGGCTAATGGGTTTCAACATCTTTAGACAACCACCCCCAAGTCGCAGCCCGCACTCGTTTTACAAAACGTCAGCTGAGCATGCGGCACACTGCTTCCACAGCTCTTCAGCTGCTTGCCTCCAATGGTTTTCCCGCGGCACGCATATAACAACTGACATCGCTGGCTGATGGAAGAAGGTTTGAAGGATCATCGAACATCGGGGCTATATAAACGGAAACAGTAGCCAAACACCTCTCTATAAGCCTTACAGGGCACAATCAGCTGTGCACCCTGGCCATGCGTCCCACAGCCTGTGGAAATGGGCAGTGGCCAAAGCACGTCCAAGCGATGGAATGGCATTCTCCAATGATTTCAGCATGTGGACCAATGACGTATCTATACGTATTTGATATGCTACGTTTTGATCACCCTGTGCTGATTCATCCGCACCTATATAGCTGGAAGCATATACTTGTGTCACTTGTTTACTGAAACTGCTCCCTCTGCAGGCAAATCTTGGGGAAGGATCTTTCTGGCATCGCGTGTCACAAACAGAAAGTGAAGAGCTCATCCATATGAGGCCAACTCACTTGTCGTCTCTACCCGGTGACTTGTCATCTATGTTCCTCTTTGCCAAGCTTTTGCCGTGCTTCGTGACACAGCCTACCGGAGGAGTTTCTAAACAGGTTCTGCAGAGCACCATGTGCAGCAGCAACGCCACCTGCTCTGCTGCAGGCTTTCCTGGAGCTCTGCACGCAACGCAGGGCCTAGGCCCACCAAACGAAGGCTCCAGTGAGCTGCTGACCCTGGCAGTTTTTTTCTTACCAACCAGCTTTTTGCCTAAAAGGTTGTTATGTGGTCATCAAAGACCCGGACATTGGGTTCTTTGGATGGAGAAGTCCAAAAGTCTGTCCATGTCAGATGGTAGAGATTTCATTAAGGACAATGTGCAGGGTAGGAACCACAAATGTTCTGAGAAGATCATAAGCATTGGGCCACAATATTGATCCACTGGAGACATCTGGAGACTGGACCCCCCAGATTTGTACATCAGCGGGCTGATCAGGGATCCTGGAACGACGTGCTAGGCTGAGCAGACTTGTCTAGAAAACCTGAGGCCTGACATGATGAGCGCCTCCGAGCGCACAGGCATTCATAAATGACACTCCGTCACAAGTTGTCCGGCAACACAGTTTCCTAAGAGGCGCTCCACTTCCATGATTGCTGGGATAGAGGGGTTGCAGCCATCAGAATGGAATGTCAAAGTGAAAAACCGTGTAGAAGCTTGATCCCAGGAACCCAGCAGCGCACAAGAACACTTCAATCCATGGCCCCCCAAGAAAACAACCTGGATCAACAGCAGCCGAGGCACTGGTCCCTGGCCAATCTGGCTGGTGACACAGTGCTATGGCCACCACTTGAACCTTCCATGTTTTCAGTTTGGTCTCAGCCGAGCTTGGGCCCTCGTGCTGGCACATGCTCGGCAAAGCTCACCGCAAAGCACCTTCTCCCCGCACTTCCGGCAGCTGGGCCGGAGCAGCCGACCCAAGGGTCCAGGTGCACCTCGCGAGGAGGCACTGGGCCTGGCCCGGTCGCTTTGTAGCGGTCGGTCAACCTAGGGAGCGCTTTGGGCCTATGGGGCACAGGGATTCAAGTAAAACATGATAAGTACTATATACATGTAAACCAATTGCCATGCAGTTGTAAAGCCTGGTGGGCTGGTGGGTGATATGTAGAAATGCAGATCTTACGTTGTCGTATTTCTCCCAACTATCGCACGGCTCACTCAATAGTTGGAGTGTAGTTCAGTGGAAAGCAAACAGAGTTTCAGACCAGGGGTGCTGACTTCATGCGCCTGAAAGATCGCCCTTCCTCAGGGAAGGGTGGTCAAAGGATATCATCGCAACAACAGGTAATCCGAATCCCCACTTCCTCTACAGCAGGGTTCTGTGGGAGGTGTCAAGCAATATCAGCCACGACCAGTTCCTGCAAAGCTTTTTGATTACAGTAATTATTTTGTCTCAAGGTTTGGAGCCTGTTGTTCTGAGACTTGCAAACATGCACGGGAAAACCCTTAACCATGTGTTCCTCCCAACGGTTGATGTTCTACGTCGTTGCTGGCTTTGGTGCGTCTGCAAGTTGCCCCCGCCCTCGATCTGCCAGCGCTGGCCAGCAACCGTGAAGCTGATGAATGCGGATCTGATAATTGAACGAAATTACATCATCGCATCCAGCTTAGTTTTGACCTTGGATCATCTTTTGCAGCAGGCGTCTACGTCAAGCCGTGTGATGCGGTTTTGGCCCCACACCGACCGCTCTTTGCTGCGGAAGGTCCACAGGCCTATCTGAGTCCGAAGGTTAGGCATCCGGACTTGCAAACCCAACATGCTCCTTACTGACTGAAGTGGTCTCCCCATTTCGGAGCCCCAGGCGTCCGTGGGACCTCTGCAGAGAGGGATCGCGGAGGACGAGAGTCCATGGAGCCAACGCCCGACTTGGGAGCCACAGGGAGCGTTGTAGGAAGCGTCGTCAAAGAACCCCTATCCATCACAAGCATGATCGTTTGGCGCGTGATCTTCTCCTTTTCGTGGTCGTCCACTAGCTGAGTCATCTGGGTGCGCGAGGGGACGACTGCGGGGCCTCAACATCATAATGCTCATAATTAGGGATCATGCCACCGCAAAGGGGTCTTGTCCACATCCACCGTCCTTTGCCAAAAGCACCAACCTGGGCCTCAAGGCTGCCCAGTTGTGCTGATGCTGGAGCTGCTGCTGCTGCTGTTGCTGTCGCTGTTACGCGACAGTGAAACGTGAACAAGGGTATTCTACGCGAGATTCAGTACTGCAGTTCAAGGTCTATTCAAGGTCAGGGCCTAGGCTTGGTCTTAATGGTTGTCATGTGTCGGCTCCCATGCATTGAAAATTTGAAACGTTATCTTCCCGGACAATGCTTCGGCGCCTGGGCACTTGCCGGAGCCAAGCTGTCACATCCAGGTTGGGCCTGGGCGAGTGCTCCCGCCACCTCCAAGTGGCTGGCCACTGGAGCGGACCCAAATCTCACCCAAAAGGCTCTGGGAACTCCTGGCCCATTCCCCTCACCTTGGCGACCTCCCTTCGCCCAGCCCTCGTGAGGCCCGTCCGAGCCGGTCCACGACCCGCTGCCGGTCCACCGGGGCCCGGACGGAAGGCCCACGAGGTCGGAGTGCAAAATCCGACGGATGGCTGGGAGCAAGGCCTGAGCTGTTTCACGCGGATGAGACGTGCGGACTGACGTGCATTGCTAGTAACAAGTGCATTACTACTAGCTATAGCAATAGCTATATATATATACTAGTAGCACTACTGTAGTAGCTTCTTGCTATCTTGCGATACTATGCTATACTAGAAGCGATGCGCTTGTTCCGTTCGTAGCGATGCACTCGCTACGTTCGTAGCTTCATGTCTGGACGGGGTTGCTGGGTGACCAGGATTGGTGCCACAGGGTTCTCTGCCCCAAAGGCTTTGGATCGCGTTGGTTTGAGGTTTGGTCAGCTGGGGGCAAAGCACCGAGACAAGTAACTGGATCTGACATGACTTAGGGCGAAGAGACTCATGTCAATGTGGACTCTGACTCGTGATTATATCCACATTGACATGAGTATATGAACATGTCTATATTATATCAACTAAAGTCCACAATGTGGAGTCATTCAATGTAGAACATACTAAAGTTTAAAGCCCTCCCGTTTGGATGTACCCACTGGCGGGCCTGTCGCGCTCTGACACTGGCCCCTTTCCCCGTATTATAATGTAGTGATGTGCTTCAAAGCGCATCATCTGGGCGATTCATGGCCGCATGGCCATTCTAAAACTACATGGGGGCCCTGAACCTGTGGGCTCATTCCAAGCAGAATGAACCCCAAGTTCTCCTAATTTCACCTGACCACCCCGAATCGAACTCCCGGACGATTCCCCCCCCGGTCCGAGCTCCCGGGGCCGCCTTCTCCACATACCACCACCGGTCGAGCCTGACCGGCCGTGGCGCCGGTTCAGGACATTCGGGCCTCCCAAAGACTCTTGAGCTATGTTGGGGCTTATACCAGTTCACCCCCCAGTTCACGCCACCCTCTCAGAGGTTCTGATCGCAGTCTTTGGCCACCGGCTCGCCGTTCCCAGCGGTTCCCAGGCCGCCTTGAAGCAGAACTGCCTGCCCCCGCCTGCGCCGCGTGGGTGGTAGGTTTACATGCTATCAATTCTGCGGGCTCCAGCCATTTCATAGAGGTGCCCTCCCATCAATCATGGAACTGGAACAGCCCGCCCCTAGAGCAAAACTTGTCTTTTATATGTTTTATGTTCAGCTCAGTTGGCAGCCATAGTCCCAAAGAGAGGGTAAACACATGCAAACACACTTTTCGGAACAAGGAGTGCCGCCTTGTCTTCTGGCGGTGGCCTTCTGTGAGTGATATACCAGACTGGATGACAAACTGCCAACCGCCAAGGCCAAAGCCAGGTCTGGGAGCTTTTGTTGGCCAGCCCAACAGGTCCATTGGAACATTTACCACCACCACCACCACCACAACAACAACAACAACAACAAGAACATGGACTCAGCCACCGAACATGAGGCGGCCAAAAGAAATACAAAGCAACATCCCATCCACAATCAGCAAGTGGCTAATCGTTGATCGCGGAGAATGGCTGGCTGTCTTCCATTTATCCAATTGCTTGTGACTGTCCCTGCTGCGGTTCCATTCATTTCAGCAGCGTCCTTTTGATGACCTTTGGCTGCACTCGGCTGTGAGGACTGGCTTGATGGCAGAAGAATCTACAGACCCCTTCTGAAGAGGCGGATCTGTATGTTCAAGTCTGATTCATTTCTCAAAGTGATGGGTTAGGAGAAGCAACCAAAAACCCTGCCAAATGCCAGCTTGGTTGGCTGTTATTGCCCAAACCATCCTGGCATGGCACAATTCTCCATGTCAAATGGTGGGGCAAAACATGTCACTGTCACCAAATCAAATCAGCATGTGAGTGGTTCGCACATCCTTGTCCTTCCAGTCAATCCATCTTCTCGCACTGGTTGAAGACATGCCGGAGGGGTACACATTTGAAAGGCAAAACCCTTCAGAGTTTTCTTTTTTGGGGGGGCCTAGACCTTCTGGCTCCAGGTGTTGTTGTTTCCGGATGAGCCCCATTCATGCTGACTCACTGGGATGACTACCTGCTGACGACCTGCTGGCGGGTCACTTCTTGAACTTCTCAGTGTTGGCGACTGGACCCCCAAGCCAAAAGTCCAGGGCAGCACCAAAGAACTCCTCCTGAACCATGTGTCCTGCTAGGCAACACCAGGCCGGAGCTTCTAGAACAGGACAGTCCATTCGCAGTTCAGCAGTCCTGCGCCATCAATCATGGCAAACTCCACGGGGCACCTGCGATTCGATTTGGGCGACTTCGCTTTTTTAAATCGCATGGCTCAAATCACCTATAATTATATATATCTCAACAAAGGCTTTCACACCACTTGAAAGCACTAACAAAAAACCGATTGCGATCTCCAAGCCGCCCCAAGTCCCGCAAGCGGTCTCTGGTAGGCCGTGCCACTGTGTCGGGGCCAAAGAGCTTGTCCTCTGTGCCGTACTCCATGTAGACCTCGTGGCCATGGTTTTCTGGCTCCTATAAGCGTCATATTGATCTTCTGGGAAAACGGTCTCGCATGATGAAGTTCCAACCTTTAAACTAATGAATAACATGATAGAACGGCAATGACCAGGTCATACCCAAAACTGCCCTTCCAGGATGGCAGGAGTAATCCATCCCATGCCCCCCCCCCATGCCCATCCAGGACACCCGAGGCTTCAAGGTGTCCGGTGCGGTGTCATGGAAGAAGCCCGTCGCTTGGACGAGCCTTAGAGTTCTGAACGGCTGGCGGCTCGGGCGGCCCACTTCGGCTGGCGAACTGGGAACTGGGAACTGGATGCCAAGATGGCTGAAGCGTTGGAAGGTATCTGACGTCCACCTTCCAATGCTATTATTGACTATGCATAGAGGTCTCCACAAATTAACCTATCTTGGGCATGATAGGGTCAGGGTCAGTGTTCTGTGGGTGACGTGAGTCCAATACCATGTCAACATAGAATATGGTTGTGAATTAACAACCTAAACGATTAATTACTAAACCTATGTCGACCTCCCAACGACCCCCTGAAAGAAGCAGACCAAAACCCTCACCCATGTTCCTACCTTGGCCCTAGCCTGAACTTCTCACAGCCTGAGGACTGTCGGACCCGCACGCCGACGCCAAGGCACGCCGTCCGAAAGATGCCCGGGTTTCGAAGCGCCTGGCGGACCGGAGGGGGCCCCCCTTCACTCGCATGAATGAAAGTCCCGGCGTTTGGGAGGAATTTGGAGCTCGAGAACTCATATTACAAGTGCATCGCTACTAGGAACAAGTGCATCGCTACTAGTAACAAGGGCCTTACTAGTAGTAACAAGAAGCTAGTAGAAACAATAAGTAAATAGAAACAATACTCATATTATCAGGGTACATCGTCTTAGGATGCCTCTTTCTTTCGCCGATGGTCTCCTCCCCCCCTTCAGCTTCTGGGAGGATCTCTCTCTCTCTCTCTCTATGTGCACCTCCAAGTTAAGGATACAGTATTCGGATCATGTCCAATCCCAACGAGGAACAAGTCATGGACAAATCCATGCAAGTCCGCATTTTGGGCAACAAAGGGCATCGCTACGAACGGAGCAAGAAGCTACCTACTAGGAACAAGAAGCTAATTACTAAGAACAAAGGGCATCGCTACTAGGCTTACTAGGAACAAAGGGCATCGCTACTAGGCTACATAGTAGGCTACATATATATATATATATATATATGTTCCATCTTTTGCCCACTCCTCTTTCGCCGGACCCGTCCGACAGCGTCGCCCCGGCGGCCATCGACATGGCCAGGGAAGCGCCGTCCGACATGCCCATGATGGCGATCTGCTGGTCATCGATGGACACTTGGCATCCTCGGTGAGTTGACTGAAGAGGTCCAGATCTGAAAAACACTATGTCCTTTCTGAAAGTGTCAAAAGCTGGTTCAAAGTATCATCTGAATCATGTGGTTACAGTAAAGCGTTTTAACTTTTGAGAAAGCAGTGTTGGCTTGTTTCGAAGCAGTGAGAATGAGTGGCAGTGAGTGGAGGTGGCACGGTTCCTAACTCTTGGAACTGGGCCGGGAAATTCCACTCCGGAAACGAACTCGGGACGCCTGGATGCCCCCCAAAAATGGACATGCCCACTCACTTAGTCCTGAACAAGTATACTCACAGAGTGGGGAGCTGACCGAAACATCTCGGCGAGATTGTGGTGAGTGGGGTGGACAAAACCATGAACCACCTCGATTGTGGTCTTTCGCTTGCTCCAAGACCCGACTGTCGGCGGTGCTCAGGCTGTGCTCTCGTTCTCGTTCCATCTGCATTCCAAGGTGCTGGTTTGATTGATGGCATACTCAATAAAATCCATGTCCTGCACGTGGCTCGATTCATGCTGGCACCCCACGTTTCCGCCGCGCTGTTTCACACCCAACCTGATGTCAACCGCAGGAGATGTACCATCAAAAATGTTGCTATGCAAACTTGATTATGTCACAATGTCTCAAGCATCATCAAGCATCTGTACCCAAATATAGACCCCCAAATAGATAGAAATGTAGATCCCTACTAAAAATGAATTGGAAACCGTTTCCATCTATTTGAGACCACCATACTTGAACTCAAAAGACCAGATTCAGAAAGACACCTTGGCAATGGTGCACTCTCCTCCTGCAAGGGAGTTCATGTTCCCCGTGAATTTCGGCAGTTCATGGCGCACCCAAGTGATCCCCTCATCAGAGACTTCAGAGAGGATGCGGCCAAAAGTAATATATAGGACCCCCACCGGATCGTGCTGCCACCTGCTTACACCTCTTCAGGTCTATGACCGAGACTTGTTCTTCCAAACAACTTTAATATATGTTGGGTCCATCCTATCACCAGTCACAGTGGGTGGTCATGGTTAGTAAAGGCCTTCTTAAAAGAATTGTGATACATTAATTATACATCATTGTTGACTGACTGTTACAGGCAATAGGACAAACCCTAAACTAAACATATGCTTCAGTTGAACCTGTTTCTACGCATGTTTCTACCGCATCTCTGGATGAATGCAAACCAGTTTGGTTTATACAGTATATATTATATCAACAGGAAATTGAACGACAATTTGGACTATGAGCATCTGGACTCCGACCTTCTCTTCGTGCATTCACCCCAACTACATCCAATGGTCCTGGTCCAACTACGAGGGCAGGTTTCTAAGAGACCTGAACATCAACAGCTTTATAGCTCTACAGGATCCTCAACCTGCTCAGGGAGCGGTGCCCAAGGGTTTTAGACTTCTGGTCTTCTATCAGAATTGCCCGTCGCAAGCTCTGAGGCCACCCATGGACGCAAACACACACAACCACCGCCAAGCTCCGCTGCTTCACGCCCCGACGACATACCCTCCGTGCCCTCCGGGCGCTCCCGGCGTTGGCAGGTGAGCAGGTAATCCCAGGTGGGACCCACCGATTCCGGCACCTCGGCGCTCGGTCGACCCGCAGCAGGGAGGTACGGGGGCGGGGCCGGAAAGGGGGACGAGCACAAGCTCGGTGCGGCACAAGCACGCCACGAAAACACCGGCTCAAAGGACTACTTAGATATATAATCCGCCGACCCCACACCGTGGGGTGAGGCGTGACTGTCGATGTTAGCCTTAGCCTTAAGCCTTAGCCTTAGCCTTAGCCTTAGACCTTAGACCTAGTCCTTAGCCTTAGACCTAGACCTTACCTCCCCTACCCCTCCGGACCCTTGTTGGAGTGACGAAATCCTGCCGGGAAAGCGACCTGGATTGTCCAAGAATCTGCCATCCCAATTGATTTACATCTTGGGGCACCCTCTCGACCCGCGCGGGAAAATAAGCACGGTCCAAAATGGTCCTGGGCTCGAATCCCGGGCTGGTCGCGGCATGGTCCCGGCCAATGCCCTTGCTTTTTCGTAGATTTTGTCACGTTTTCTGTTGGTTTATGAGATTTTCAAAGGCTTTTCTGGCATTTTCCTAGGAATGCTCTAGGCTTTGTCTTTTTGGGTACCTGCTTTGGTGGTGCTGGGTCGGGTCTAAATTGGTAAACCTGGGAGGTACCCAAAAAGTCGACTTTTTGGGTACCTGCTTTGGTGGTGAAGGGTTGGGTCTAAATTCTTGGGCAATGATCGGGGTTCATGCAAGAGCTGACGTCCGATGGTAAATCTGGGAGGTACCCAAAAAGTCGACTTTTTGGGTACCTGCTTTGGTGGTGCTGGGTTGGGTCTGCACTCTTAAGGCTAAGGCTAAGGCTTAAGGCTAAGGCTAACATAGAGCAAGGCTAGCGCTAAGGTTCTATCCCTTGGGGGTCGGCGGCTGCAGGCGGTAGCCTGGTAAATACATATATATATATATAGGATGAAGGATCTGCGTTGTAGAAGGTGAAATCCAATTGATAGATGCTTGAATTTGGATTTGCTTGAGTGGTTCGATGGAATTTGCTTTGCTCGAGCGCACGCGAAGCGCATGCATGTGCATGCATCATCAAGCTGAATGATGGTTGGTCGACCAGGCACAAGGACGGCAATCTGATATGCTGATGCATCCTTCTGCCACCGTTCCTGAGCACGGTGGCAGCAGGCCGCTCCGAGTCACTCCGAGGTTGTCTGAGCCCACAACTGATCGTTCAATGTGCCATCCACAAAACATGGATCACGGGACAACTTACAGGACTACAGGACAGCTTGTGAAAGTGCTCATGCAGGCGTCAAACAAGGAGAACACCAAGGGTTAGCCAGCGTTGATGGCAATCACATATGCATTGTTGCCTCAACCATGCGCCGTGGTCTGGATGATTGTCCTTCAACAGCTCCACCAACCAACCGGCACAAACCATGCCCCTTGACCTGATTGACGAGGAATGCATAGAAACCTCATAGAATATCATAGTACAAATATCACATAGAAAATCTAATTAACAAAAGCGCCAAGCCTTCCTACCCACACCTGCCAGTTTGACCTTTTGGGGGCCCCGCACCGTCCCGAGTCCCCTCCCAACATCTCAGCGATGTGCCACCCGCGATGTGCCATGGGGCTGCGAAGGACAGGAAATCCCAGTCCATGGGCCTGGAACAAAGCGATGAGAACACGTCATCTTCTAGAAGAGATTCACCTACACCATCCTACACCTATATACAGTACTGTAACTCTATATATATAATATATTAGTTATATATAACTATATACAGTACTGTAACTCTATATATATAACTCTATATATATATATATGAAGTGGCTCAGGGCTCAGGTCCCACAATCCATCACCTTGACCTGTCACCTGTCCAGGCCATCGGGTCCTGTCCATCTCGACTCACCTCGAGCCATGAAAGGCCACAAGCAAAGGCAAAGGGCCAGGAGAGGCAAGCTCGGGCAGCCACACGTACCTGAGGACGTAACTCGGGTGCAGCTCTCTCACTCTCTCTCCCTCCCCCTCCCTCTCTGTGTCTCTGTCTCTGTCTCTTGTCTGAAACTCTCAGCAACCTTGACGACATCTAAAGGAGCCACTGCTTTGCAATAGTGCAGGCTCCCGGAGAAGTATGACCATTATCAATCCTATCAAACAGACCAGTTATAACCAATTATTGTGTACTTCACCCGACCCACATTCCACATAGATCAAATCCAAACAGGAAACGGTTGAGAAGATGTTCTCAAGTTGCAGCGTCCTTGTTGGACACCAATCACCAGCAACGGCTGTTGATGGGTCCATCTTGTTCTACCCATCTCGCCAGGTGCTGAAGACAGTGCTGAAGACCAAACGCGCCGTCAAATCACTCGCCGAGGGACGCCTGCCAAGCCTCCTTCTACAGGTGGAAGCTCTTGGAAGGCGCGCGCAAGGCAGGCTCCGGCAGGTTGGGTTCTAGGTGGATGTGCAGCATCTCCTCGGAGAGCCAACCATCTCTGTAACATAAGGCAATGAGGCTGGGGAAGACCAGGCGCGCTTGATTCGGAAGATCTGTGGGCGTCTCTACGCTGTTGATGGATGTTGATGGTTATGTTATAGGTAGACACATATGGGCGCATTGGGCGTCAGTGTGTAGGGCGCATTGGGCGCACACAATATACATAGTAACTTACACAAATGGAGCAGCGCTTCTCAATTCCATTGCTTTTCATGGCGATCGCTTTCCTAAGATCTCGACATCAGTCTCCTGTTGGTTTCCATCGGTTTTGGTAGTTTGTTTACTCTGACACACCTTCAACCTTGCTTAGGTGGCCACTATCAAAAAGATGTTGGCCTGGAGCGTCGTGTGCTCCGACATGTGCGTGGCTTGGCTACACAATGGCACGACAGATTCCTATTGGTGCACAATGATTTGTACAATCACATGGTTTGGCTCCATGCATCTTCTATATATAGTACATTATGGTATTGCAAAAAAGGTAATTATGGGATCCATTAGGATCCTATGACCTCATACGGCTTCTACAAATGGTCCCATGACCTTCGCGTGCTGGGCCAACACTTCGTGCGTCGAGGCTCTTGCCGAAGAATGAAACCAACATGACGACCAATGCTCTGAAAACGTGGATGGCTTGGAGAAACGTTTGCCTCAACCATATATGGGTGTTTTCTGTCCCTACCTACATAATGAAGCGTAATTAGCTGAGTGGCTTCAATTCCCAGCCTCTCCATCTGCCAGTCGCCGACGCTTGTGCCGCCAAAGTCTCGCTTTGATGCTGCCGGATCGCCCTGTTGGCACCGTCATACAAGCCATCCTGAAAGAGTGCCACTGGACGATGTCGGGAGTTCTGCCCCAAACCTGTGAACCCTCAGCAGTGCTATGAGTCTGAGTTTCAACCGCCCGGGGCCTGGCTGTCGACTGGTCTCCCAAAAACCAACAAAAACACGCACGAGTCGTGGTCAGCTGTTGAGATGTGGTTCATGGACGAAGTCAGAACCATTGACTCGGTCATGCAATCCCCCAACCTCACCGGATCTCACTCCCACGGTCCCCCACGGTCCCGCACGGTCCCCCACGGTATGCGACAGGTTTGGAAGTCTCTTTTGATATGTGTTCAAGATTTGTGTATACTGATCAGTGGCGAATCACTGCACATTGGTTGTCCTCCATTTGCAGGGCTCATGCAAGATTGGCATCATTGATGCACTCCTTCATGTAGCTTAGATGGACTCAGCTGAGACGTGGGTCCCCTTTTCAAACCACACACCACACAGCTGGAGACTTTTTTGGAGGTTCCACCTTGCACTGCCTGCCACACATGTAACTAGCCCAGCGTCGCCATGGTAGCCGCCCAGGCCGTGTGGTACAAAGGAACTTAACGGAGCCCAACCTTTTCCTGGGCTCGAGGGGGGCTCAACATGGTGGCTTCCACGAAGGCAGCTTGACATAACTTGACAGCGTGGAGGTGTTGGCGTGTTGTCTTCCACAAAAGGCAGCTTGACACCACATGTCACATGTGTGCTTCTTGTGTGTCGTCAATACAAGAGTGGACTCTGCAAAATGTATTTTAGATTCGCTCGCTCGCTCTCCCCCTCCCTCTCTCTCTCGCTCTCTCTCGCCTATCGCCCGTAACACATCTACATACATACTTATTACATATCTCTCTTTCTCTCTCTATATATATATAACATATATTTGTGCGTGTGACTCAAGACATCTCAAGAGAATGTATAAATCGAACTGCCTTTAAACACGGTAAGACCATGCAACCCATGGAGCCAATATGGAACCCGAGTTGGATGGGTTTGTTGAGCAAGAATAGGGAAAGAATGACCATCCTCCAGATGATAACCAGCTAGTCCCTGAATAACTACGAAGTTTTTTCAGGAGCACTGGAACCCTTCGCCTAGTTACTAGTTACAGTACTGGAACCGTCTCCAAACATTGTTGGAACCAACCTTACTATACGTGACATGTGGCGTGCCCATCTGGTAGTGGAAACACTCATTGGTTGCAAGTCTCTCGTACCTGTGGGCTTCTTTAGCTGGGTCAATGAACATTCAGAACCGTCAGGGCATTGCCATGACGGCTGGAAGTGGACCATGGCCCTTGGAAGACAATATTCCTTGACCAAACGGGGGTGAACTCCACTTCCATGATTGTTGGGGGGAGGCTAGCCCTCTGTTTGGATCCCTGATCTCTGTTGCCACCGTTGTCATCCATCTGCTATACACTCCGTGCCTGGGTTGGTCAGTCGTCTGTCCATCGCTTCTCATCGTTTTTTTGCGCTGCAAGCGGCGGAGGTGGGCAAAGAGAAGCTCAACCCAGTCACCTCAAATGCGTGGCAATCGTGGGCACCTCACCCCAAGCACCAAACACATCGGTTATATAGGTATGAAATGCCACAAAACATGTCAAAAAATAGGTAAAGCGTCTTCTCTGCAGAGATGTCCTTAATGTCAACATCCGCCATGACTGTCCAAGGCATCGAATCAAACAAAACTTCTGCAGTTTCATGCAAAACCCCGCCCAACCACCAAATGCCCACCGGATGATCGCTTTCAACACAATGTGTGTGCAAACTGCATGCCGTACTTTGGTTGATAAGCCGCATTGACATGGTTTTCCGTGGTGATGGGATTATGGAAACATTGGCAACAATCCAAGCACACTCCTCATATGATTTCTATCGTTGTCGCGAATCCTGAAGAATCCTTACACCTATTTCGCCCGCATTGATAGGTGCGGTGCAAGGTTGGAATATTGAAACAAGCCGGCACCCCAAACAATGACCTGGCACAGGAGTCAATATCGCAGTGGCAGCACGGCTGGAAGAAAAGTCACAACCGCGGAACACGTCCGTGGCATTGATTGCCAACTGACGATGTGTGTGTGTGTGCTCTAGTTTTCATTGACCCAAAGCCCAAAGCCCAAGATATATTATATCATATCTGTCAATGATCATTACCCTTAACAACTAACCAAAGCCGCTAAGCCCTTTCTCACCGCTCCACTTGCTTGATGTCTCACCTCGGCTCAACCCTCTGAACCGCTCACCTGGGCTGCCATACCGTGTGTGCGGCCTGAAGTCAGAACAACGTCTCCTGAAGTCGGAGCAGTGGGTCCCCTGCTGATCTACACCCCTCCCACACCCATGGTGTGGACCACCATGGTTTGGACCCATGATGTTTGGAACATGTATACAAACCATGCCTGCCATCCTTGACCTCTTAAGGATAGGGAGTCTGTATCAGTTCAATTCACTTGACCTGGCGCGATGAACGTGTGGGGGGTATTGACAGGCAAGCGCGCGCGCGACGCCCAAACGCAGCGGCTAAAGCGTGCTGAACTCCTGTTTGGGTGCTGTTTCTAAGAGCTCCCAAGAAAACATCTAAAGAAGGACACCCAGAACAGGCACTTCAAAAAAGGTCAGGCGGTAGCCCCCGGCTTAGCATCTCGAACCCACATAGGATGCATGGATTTGGGAAATTCAGCTGCCTTGAGAGGAAGGATCCCTGTCCGTCCGACTCCATCCATGTCACAGAAACCTCACCAGCACCAAGAAAACACCACAAAACCATTGTTTGAGACTCCAGTTGGCTTCTACTGAACTGGAGAACTCACATGGACACAGATCCTGGATCCGATCGTGGCAGGCGGCAGGCCCTTCGCACCTGGCTGCTGCACCACCCAAGGCAAGCGCTTGGATTGCCTTGGGAAAGGAGATGGTGGAAGCTACGGGGTGGTTTCAGGATGCCAAGGAAGGGTGGGGGTTGGAGTGTTCATCCATCTGTGAGGCTACCATGAAGGTACACCTGTGAGGTTTGGGCTGTTCACTCGTGACCACGGTGCCTCGGATCTCCTCGGATCCACACGGATCGGCAGCGGTTGGAGCGAGGCCAACCGCTGCAGGGACCAGTCAGCACCATTCAGAGAAGTGGTTTCAATAGGACAGCCTTCTGAAGTTGTGTTTGGGCATCCTTTTTTCAAAGGGCAAAACCTCTTACTGGGTGATGCTGAATGCCGATGCAAGCTTACTTGACCTAGATTCCCCTTCACTGCCAGACTAGGTGATACATAGGTGAAAGTTTCAAAGTTGCTGGATCTGCGGAAGTGAGGCTTTCCTTGCTCCACGATCTGTAGGATCATGTAGGATCTGCGCTGGGGCTCCAACTCCCTGAGGCGATGAAAACTACCAGGTCTAATGAACAATGTGAAACCAGGAGCAGCTGATCTTCAGAAACACATGCCCGGCCACCAATCCTCTGTCCAGCCACATCGACGGCTCCTCCATGACCTGCACTGCTGCAGCCCCGACGCGCAGCATGCGCCAGAGCCGCGTGGGCGGCGAGGCATGCGCTGGAGCCGCCGTTCGCACCGGGTCTCGGTCTTGCACGAAACACGACTGAGCTGTGACCATCTGATGTGACCACCCGGCGAGGTTTGGCACCGTGCGCGCGCTTGCGCGCAACACCCCCATGGATGGGGTGGTGGCAGCTGTCCATTCTGGTCCCTGCGCTGTTTTGAAATAATGTTCAACATTTCCTGGCCCAAGGTGGACCCCACGTGCCCATTCTGTTGCTCGTCTTTGAGGAGGGCATTCTGAGAACAAGCCACACCAATGACGACCTTCGATCGAACACTAGTGTTGATCTACACCAAGGAGCAAGCAGCAGGTCTCACAACACGGTAGTGTGTGACAGCCGAAGTCGACTGCGGTACCTGGCCGTCACCAGAAGCTCGAGGGTTTCTCGGTCCAGCCGGTCGCACATCGCTTTGCTAGCCGGAAATCTAGCCGGTCACCCCAATGCAAACGATCTGGAATCTGAGCTGCAGTGGGGCTCATCATGTTTAATCACAGGGTACATATAGGTACATATTCAATCTGGTCTTTGAATCCACTCGTCATCTGGTACATGATGGTACATGTGTACATCAAGGAGATGCATGGTTCCAGAACTTTCATCTGCTTCACACATGCCTCACAGTCCACTCTTCAAGCCTGAGGGAAGTGAGACACCCTCACTGGCATCGGCATCCTTGGAAGCCGGTTGGATGGTGTAGGCCCATGATGGGCCAGTCTCCTAGCACAGGAATAGAACCTTAAATCGACAAAGTTCTTCTTTCGCTGCCTCTGATTGGGCATCTCCTAAGCTAGGTGTCCCTGATCATACCTCAAACATGGATCCAGCACCAGACAGCCACGTATCTCAATACTATTGGCATATGGCATGTGGCTGTGCGATCTTCTTCAACTTCCGCATCCTGCCGCCATGTCTCTGACTTGGTCGTTGGCCATGCCAGGCAGCAGGGTTCATCGCGGTGGAGCACCTGGTCTTGGAGCGCTCGGGGGTGTAAGTCCCCCACCCTCAGGCCTTTCGGTGAGGTGAAGTCTACCCAAGAAAGAAAAACACTTCCAACAGTGGGCCCGGGAATTAGACTAATATCGAATGGTTGGGAGGGTCCTCCCTATTCTACTAGCACACCTAAGTAATCCTAAATAATACATATCAATGAATCAATTGGTACACTGGGTCCTTACGGTCAGGGCCTCCAGTTGTCAAGGTCTTGTTTGGATCTGGTTTCCGACCTTGAACTACTTCCAACAATCTCTCCAGACACCACTTCCGCAAGTGGCGCGCGGTGTGGTGAAGCATGTTGGAGTGATGAATGGCATTCGACCCTGCACCGAGATGCCCAGAGATGCCGAGCCGCATGCGTTTTCGCGCGCAGGCGGCTTCGCAGCGCGCGTTTTCGGTATAGCCAATTTAGAAGCCATCGGAATCCAAGAATCCGAGAATCCAGTTTATTTGCTCCAGGCTTGTACTTCATATCTGTTGGCAATATGTCCAAGAATTTCAGGGCGTCACATACAGGCTTCAAACCGCTTCGATATCATGGTTCAGTTGGTCAACTGTTGCCCCCCCCCTTGGTGTGTGATCCGGTAATTAGGGGAAATCCCAACAAAAATGGCGGATGATCACGTCTCCCCCCCCCAAGGACCCGTCCTCCAGCGAGCGTCACGGCGTCACGTGACCGCGGGAACCGCATGCACCATTGCACTCTCCAGAAGGGAGGTGTTTGGGTGGAACCAGTGGAACCACGCGAGTGAGGAATCAGTGGATGTTGAACTTACAGGAACAGGTTCGTACGACAAAAGATCACCAAATGCTTTAAAACATCGGATTCGGATTCGGATCATCTAATACACCAAACATCGTGTCATTAGGTACCCTTGTTTTCAAGACGGGATATCGGATGATATCAGGCTAACCTTTCGTGCCATGTCTTGCCGGGAGCATCCGGGAACCATCTTCTTCGTTACATGTCTCATCCTCTTAGCTTGGCTTGACATGCCCCCAACCCATGAGAAAAGAGGGCTGACGAGAACTGCTTTTTAAAGCACTGTTTCATAGTGTTTCACATCTGTGCAAGGTTCCTGGCTCCATCCTTGCACTCTGTACTCACTGTGTCGCAGCGGTGTGGCCAAACCCAATCGCGCAGGAATAGTCTCCATATATGTCTCTGAAAAGGCACTTTACTCACAGGAGGCGGGGAAGCAAATGAGGTCATTTTGCTTTCCCACTGGGAGGCTTTCCATGTTGCGGTGAGACTCAGAGACAGAGAGAGAGAGAGAGAGACAGAGCGCGCTTGGCTGTAGCCTCCAATTGGCATCTCATGGAGAGTTGCTTGCATCCAAGCAGCCCAGAATGAACACGCCACTCTTGAGGTGAACTTTTGGGAGACTTGGACATGGAGACTTGGCAAGTGATGGGAAAAAAGATACGTAGACTTGCCTTGCGCATGCTCGCGCTGTTTGTCAGAAACATGCGCTGACTTGCTGTGGGTGGAGGCTTGCAGACACACAGGGTTGCAGATGTTTTACAGTAAAACATTCAGCAGCATTCGAGCTGCTAGCGTTCGAACGCATCATGATCAACCTGCGGCTAGTTGTCTTCCAAATTTGCTGTGAAGCGCAGCCGTCGTGCCACCTGACCAAGGCCAACTGCGAGCCCTTCGTATGGCCGTAAGCGGGTGCTGTGCAAACGGTGCATGTTTTGCATAGCTTGTTTGCAGCTAGCGGCTAGCCGTTTCCTTGTGACAACATTGTTTACAGCACCACTCTCATCGTTGGAAACCTGGAAACCTATGATACGGGGTGCCCCACATGCTATAGTTGCACGATGGTGGTTAGAGTCTGTCACAATGACCTTCTTTCCTGCGCCTGCCTCATTGACAAGTTCTGCTTTGACTATATAAGGGTCGCGTACCAAACAGTTTGCGTTTAGCAGCCTGTGCGCTAAACGGAGCCCCAACCCCACTTTGCACTGGGTGGTCAATTGAATGCCCAGAATTCACGCGTAGCAGTGGGGGTCGCGTAGATAGCGGAGTCAAAGTCTAAGTACCCCTAAGTCGTTTGAGTCTCACGGTGATGTCAACTTTCTCAAGTCTCACGGTGATGTTAACATGACCCGAAAATCACCGTACAAGATCTACTTTGTTCCCAAATTCTGAACATAATTTCGCATAATTCTGCTAATGGTTGTCCGCAATATTTTTGTGAACTGTCAGCTTCTTTTTCCACGGAGCCAAATTCAGCGGACATGGCCACCTTTGTCTTGCTCATCAGCTTCTGACATGACTTGGTTTTTTTCTAGCATTACACCATTCAACATGACTGTTCAAAGAAAAGTTTGGAAATGCGAATGAGTGAAGGGATGTGCCATGCATGGTTATCCATGTTATCCAAACCAGTTTAAAAAAAAAAAAAAAGAAACACACTCGATCTCAGCGCCCCTAGTTCTTGGACCCACGCCTTTTGGATGGTCCAAACGCCAACATATATAGCCCAAATGCACAGCACATTGTGCCAACATGTGATCACATGTCTTCTGAAGAGTCGAGGACAGGCTTCTCCGTGGAGTAGCCGAGATGATGTGGGACATGGGCCAATCATGTTCGACACATCGGCTCCATCAAAAGGATTGAAGCACAACAGTTGAGTTGTGACCAAGCCGCCGCCCATGCAACCGACCTGCCAAAGCCGGGCCTCTGCCAGCTGTGCCGGGAACACCGAGCGGTCCACGAGGCGTGCACCTGGGCTGTTGGCTCGCCTTCTCGGAATCGAAGATGTTGGAAGGAGTCAAGCTCGGGAAAGTAAGAGACCATCTTGGAGATGTTCAGGAATCATCGTCGGAAATGCTCGGAACATCTCTACTCGGTGTGATTCTTGAAAATGTAGCTTGAGATCTCTTGATCTTGATGAACCCAAAGGTGCAAAGACTTCACGTCACATAGAAGACCCGGCACCTTGAAGCATATTAACCGTTATATGACCACCTCAGAGGACAAAATAATTGAAGAAACATGAAGAAACCATTCCACAGCACACAACGCCTTTCCAGAACCGCTAGATCAACGTCACATCTCCAAGCACACAAGGCGCACAACTACGGTGTTTTGTTGAGATGTGTCCAAGTTCCAACACACGCTGACCTTGTTCCACACCGTGCTCATGCTGGCCTTGTTTGCCTTGAATGTTTCACGCAATCTTGTCCCTCCCAGGGAAGTTGCCCAAGGAAGTGGATGGAAGTTGCTACCATTTGCTACCTTGAGTTTTCCCATCGGACGCACGTCGCCGGGCGGGGCTTCTCCCGCTTCACGTCGCCTGGGTCCCCAACCCACGTCGTCCAGCGCCACCGCGAAGGAGATCCGCTCGCCAAAGGAGGGCGCCACCTGGGAAGACGCTTCATGACGACGGCCGGGCCGAATCCTGTGAGTCGGTTCGACGGGACCAGGCGCCTAAGAGGAGTTTGCTTTTCGATCGGTGTTTTTTGTTGGGGGGAATGGTTGGTGAAGAATTTGGTTTCCTATCATGTGTTTTTTCTTTGAGGAGATGGATGGTTGGTGAATTTGGTGACTTTGCTCTAAAAGCGTCGCTGCTGGTTGCCAAATACCACACCTCGCGCCGGCTGGAACTGAGAAGGGCACCCGCTTCACGGACAGGAATGTGAAATCGAAGGCATATAGATCCCAAAGATCTTAATTAGCTATAATTAGCTGTATGAGCTACCAAGGGAGCTACCAAGGTATCCCCTCTATACGCAAACATGCTCTGAGCTTCACTGCTGCATCGCCTTCGGTGGCAATGCGGTTCATGGCCACGGCCGCCTGGGCGTTCCGGGACCAAGACCGATCCGATCCGTTCGACCCGATGGAGTGAGGCGCAGTGAGTCGGTGTGTTTTGTTGAAAATGGCTCAAGAGTTGAAGCCAGTGAGATTGAAAGTGAATCTCACAGATCTTGCGATCTGTTGCAATGTTTGTAGGCCGACGATGCGTCGAACCACTTTCGATCCGTTCATTGACTCACCAACGGAACATCATAGAATCAATAGAACCACTTGTTCCGGCGCGGCTGATTCCACCGTGAACCCCCCGTCCGCCTGTGGAGGGAGGGTCGCCGAACCGCCATCGTCCGCCTCTTCGGCTCGGAGTGCCAGGTCCGTCCGACGGGGGTTATCAGTTTTGTGGCGCTTGAGCAAGGAGAGATCTAACAAACATCATGTTAGCAAACAACATGTTAACATAATGAGAAGGATAATCGACCTCATGATAGCAAGTCATGTTTGTTAGAAACAATATAATCGCATCTCATCTAACAAACATGCTAGATCTTCCGCACGGAGAAGGACAATAGTATGCAGTAAATATAGGCATCCATGTATGTAATTATGGGTCTTTGTGAAGACTTCCTCAGAACTCATGGCAGCTGTGATGGCAGGATCCTGTCATCAGCTGAGACCACCGGGATCTGGCAGAAAACGGCAGAAGCCCTTCCGCATCTGGCGCCTCCGCCCGGTAGGTTCCCAAGCGCGCTTCGCGGAAGAAGGACAAGTCAGCCCTTAGGCGGATGGTGGCAAACTAACGTGTGCAAACCACGCTGAGCGTGCGCATTCTAACTGCGATCTGTATTGTTACTACACGGGTTACCCCACGTATGAAGAATCAACTTCACAACAAGTGAGTTACTAGTCAGGAAAGCTTCTGAGGTTTTTATATATATATATATTTATACATTATAATTGAAAGATAATCAATTGATTTTCGATTGAACTGTAATCATATGATGAAACTCTTTCAGGTCCGCGCTTCTGTGCAAAACCGTTGTTCTGCCAAATGTTCGCGTAATTGACGGAGGATCGTCTCCGGAAGGCACACGTTTCTTGAGAACGACAATGCTTACAGCATAATTTTAACCAAAACCAGAACGGTGCAACCAGTTTCTGAAGAAGCTCTCGGCCTTTCTGAATTTGGAAT